AAAAAAAAAAAGAAAGAGGCCTCAGAGGACTGCCTCTCCCCTTCCACCATGCGCGGACAAGGAGAAAAGGTGCTGCTCACCAACCAGAAGGCAGGCCCTCCACAGACACCACATAGGCTGGCATCTTGATGAAAGACTTCCCAGCCTCCAGAACCATGAAGAAACACATCGTTGTTGTTTATTTATTTATTTATTTTTGAGACAGAGTTTCACTCTTGTCGCCCAGACTGGAATGCAATGTCACGATCTCCTCTCACTGCAACCTCCGCTTCCTAGGTTCAAGCGATTCTCCTGCCTCAGCCTCTGGAATAGATGGGACTACAGGCATGCGTCACCACGCCCGGCTAATTTTTGTATTTTTAGTAGAGACGGGATTTCACTGATCACGAGCCAGGCTGGTTTTGAACTCCTGACCTCAAGAGATCCACCTGCCTCAGCCTCCCAAAGTGTTGGGATTACAGGCGTGAACCACTGCGCCTGGCCCATCGTTGTTTATAAGCCACTCGGTCAATGTTATAGCAGCCCGAACAGACTGAGACACTCCTGCAAAAGCATGCCAAGAGCAAAGGGTCTTTTCTTCTTTTGGGGGCAGGGTCAGGGATGGCCTTTAGTAACCATGTCGCCTTGGACCTTTCCTGTCCAACTTCTCATGCTCTCTTGATTTGATACCCAGGTATATGGCCAACGGACTCCGACAGGGCCACCAACAGCACGTCTGGAAAGTGCTCTGGTAGCACAATGGTGTCTGTCCTTTCTCTCAGCCACCACTGCCTATGGAGAGACGGACAGAAGTAATAAGTGAGAAGACTCTCATACCTCTCTCACTCTACCTCATGATGATATTCTTCAAAATCTCTGGGCTCCTTTGTTTGAGCACCATTAGTATATTACAATATGGTATGTTATAATACAGTATAATATAATGTAGTGTAGTATATTAGCCAATCTATTTTTTGTTCATTTTTTTATGTTTCTGGAGGGGTCTAGTTTCTGTACATTTGGATACCACTATTTTATGTGTAATTCAATTTTTCTTTCTCTTTTGTTTTCTTTTCCACTGCAACCTCTGCCTCCCAGGTTCAAGTGATTCTCCTGCCTCAGCCTCCTGAGTAGCTGGGACTACAGGTGTATGCCACCATCCCTGGCTAATTTTTGTACTTTTAGTAGAGATGCGATTTCACCATGTTGGCCAGGCTGGTCTTGAACTCCTGACCTTGTGATCCACCCACCTTGGCCTCCCAAAGTGCTGAGATTACAGGTGTGAGCCACTGCACCAGCCTTGTAATTCGATTTTTCTAGCTAATGACAATCACTTTCTGAAAATAAATGCTTTTACTTTTATCTTAATATTTTGAAAAAATATCTTTAGCAGAACTTTTTCCTCATCGATGAATAGCAGTCATTGGACAGTTCTTCCTGGTCAAAGAAAAGGGAAAAGGAAACTTTGGGTTACTTTTGGCCTTACGATTCTAACTACCCATCAGCGGACACATCACATAATGCTATTTGTTGTCTCACATATTTGACAGATGAGTTGAAATCCTTTTATATAATTCAGCAAACATTTAACATGGGAACACTGTGCTAGGCTTTTGTGAAATATGCAGATGAATGAGAAAGTCTTGGCCATCCGTGGATGATAAGACACGAACATAGATAACTTCACAAGAACTATTTCAGGCATCCCTTCTGACTCACCACTGGCAATAGATTGGGCCTTAGACCAAGAAAAACGAAACGCAAGATTAAAAAAAAAAAAATCCTTTCAATTTACTGGGCAACCAACCAAAACTACAGACTTTTCAGGTTTTAGATAACATTACAAAGAATCTTTCTTGATTATATGTTTGTTCTTGTAGCAATACAAAATGCTTTCTGTGTTTATAGTTAAAGCGCTGGTTCTGGGACTGTTTTACGGTTGGGGATATATGAGAATTTTTACTTGTGTTTAATTTCAGAGAATGAATACGTAATTCCGGTCCTCCCCAGCCCCCGCCTACCTTCAGGCAGTGGGGGGGTGGAGGGGAATCAGGAAGGAACTAAAATACAAGGCTTTTCCTCCCATTTTACATTCCAACTTGTCTCACAGGAAATGAACAAAATAGTGATTCTCAAATGTAACATTGTACTTTTCTGTGCTGTGCTACAAAAAGACCTTTACAGGAATTTTTTTGTGTGTTCCAGAAGTTGAATTTTTTAAGGACAAATGTGGAACTTGGATTTTCTTTTCTTTCTTTTCTTTTTTTTTTTTGAGACAGAGTCTCACTCTGTCCCCGAGGCTGGAGCGCAGTGAAGGGGTCTCAGCTCACTGCAACCTCCAACTCCAGGGTTCATGCGATTCTCCTGTCTCAGCCTTCCAAGTAGCTGGTATTACAGGCACCAGCCACTACACCCGGCTTGTTTTTGTATTTTTTGTAGAGATAGGGTTTCACTGTCTATCTTGAACCATGTATAGGCTGGTCTTGAACTCCTGGCCACAAGTGATCCCACCCACTTCAGCCTCCCAAAGTGTTGGGACTATAGGTGCGAACCACTGAGCCTGGCCAAGAACTTGGATTTTCATTTTCTGAAGAATAAATGCCAAACTCTTTTACATTGAAGATCTGCAAAATCTCATCCCAAATCATTTCCAGCTTTATCTATATATCCATCCTTACTCCATGTACCCAGCAATATCCTGTGAAGCATGTCTAATATTTTTATTTCTGAAACTGGATTCCAACCCCCCCCCCTTTAAAATACCCTTTTCTTTCCTCTCAAACTTACTGCTAAAATCCTCATCTTTCAAGGCGCATCTTCAAAGAGGAGGCATCCATAAAGCATCCCACTCACCATTCTCCAAACTAGTATTTCTCCTTTCCTGAATTTTAATAATTTTTCTATAATTAAGAGTTATTATGGTGGGGCACAGTGGCTCACAGTCAATCCCAGCACTTTGGGAGGCTGAGGTGGGCGGATCACAAGGTCAGGAGTTCGAGACCAGCCTGGCCAATATGGTGAAGCCCCCGTCTCTACTAAAAATACAAAAATTAGCCAGGCATGGTGATGTGCCTGTAGTCCCACCTACACGGGAGGCTGAGGCAGGAGAA